TGAACAACAACAGTGTTCCCTCTAAGCTGAGTTAGTGTGAGCTAGCGCACCGTTTTTTAGCCTCCGGCTCACACATTTTTGTCTTAGTTCAGGAAGGATGTGGCTCCAGAGCAAACTAATTTATGCACTAGGCAAATCGCTTGCTCACAACTTTAATGCCAGCGGCTCACAAAACAGAATTTTTGCTCACAAGACTCCACAGCTTAGAGGGAGCATTGCCTGTGACTTGACCTCACTTTCCACCGCCACAATATGAAATGAAAGAAAAGCCGAAGGTGAGGGAGAAGAGCGGATGAACAGAATATGTTGCTGATAAAAACTGCTTCTCTCTGAGAATATGTTGCTGATAAAAACTGCTTCTCTCTGCACGTGGTGGGCCGACCGTCCCCCCCCCAACACTTTTTAATATGGGATACAGGGATGCCCCCCCCCCAAATCCTCCTTATCCCGATTTCCCTCTGGACTTTGGATTCCCGAATTACATTAACTTGTTCTGAAGCACAGCGGCTGCATTAGGAATCCTCTATTGTCTCATTTTTTAATTTCTGAATCGTATAGAGAATGCCTTGGTAGATGTATCGTTCACTGCAATTTGTAGCCCCTGACAATGCTCCCTCTAAGCTGTGGAGTCTTGTGAGCAAAAATCCTACGTTGTGAGCTGCTGGCATTAAAGCTGTGAGCGAGCCATTTGGCTACTGCATAAATTAGTTTGCTCTGGAGCCATCCTCCCTGAGCTGAGACAAAAACGTGTGAGTTGGAGGCTAAGAAACCGTGAGCTAGCTCACACCAACTCAGCTTAGAGGGAACATTTGTAGTCATTAGCACCTTCCCTCCTAGTTACTGAGGGACAGCCAGTTTAGTGTAGTGGTTAAGAGCCGCAAACTCTAATCTGGAGAACTGGGTTTGATTCCCCGCTCCTTTACATGCAGCCAGCTGGGTGACTTTGGGTCAGTCACAGTTCCCTCAGAGCTGTTCCCTCAAGGGCAGTTCTCGAGAGAGCTCTCTCAGCCCCCCCCCCCACCTCACAGGGTGTCTGTTGTGGGGAGGGGAAGGGAAAGGAGATTGTAAGCTGCTCTGAGATTCTGAGTGAAGGCCAGGGTATAAATCCAAACTCTTCCTCCTCCTCCTCTTCCTCTCCTCCTCCTCCTCCTCCTCCTGGAGGCACCTGAACTCCTGGAATGGCTGCCATCTTTAGATCTGATTAGAATGTTATTATTATTGTCCATGGAATGCACTTTTAAAAATGTTTTAAATTGTTCTATGTATCAAATTAGTATCTTGTGACCCGCCCTGAGCCCACTCGTGGGAGAGGGCGGGACAGAAATCAAATCAAATATAAATCAATCAATCAATCAATCAATCAATAAGCTGCAGCCCCCATTGTGTAGCTAGCTCTACCTCCTGTGGCAGCCATTTTGTGGCAGCCATTTCTGTGACCGTGCCCACCATGCCGTATCGGATTTCCAAAAGTGCTGAGAAAGGTTGGGGACCCCCAGGCTAAAGTTTATCGTGGACACACTGTAGTTTGTGGTAGCTGAATAAGGCTGAACTCCGTCCCAGCCTCAGGAATCTCTGTGTGCTTTCTTCCATAAAAGGGGAACCCACAACCCAGTGCTGTGTCGGACATTCCCGTCTCCTCGCCTGCTAGCAAATGCGCCTCTTCTGACATCCCTCACTCCTTCTCTGCCCGTGCATTGCACCTTCCCCTCCTCCTGCTTCCTCTGGCCCACCCCTTTTGCAGGCTCCTCTCCCCGCCTATCCCCCTAATGCGTTGTGTTTTATCCAGCCACCACCTGCTGCGGCCTGTCTCAGGAGCAGACAGGCTTGTATCAGGAAGCAGAAAATGGGGTGGGAGGGCCCAACCGAGCCATCTGCAGCCTGGTCCATCTGTGCCCGCCCCTCACAGCTCTGGGGACAGGGAACATCTGCTAATAAGCTGGTGGGCTGGCTGAAACGCTAGATGGATCTGTCTGTCAAGCAGATGATGGCTGAGGAGCAGCCACTCTGCTGGGTCCAGCTCGGAGCCGGGGGGCTGCATCATGCATTTGGAAGCAGCTCGGGGATGTCAAAAGCCGCATTCCAAGCAGCTTGGCTGGGGAGCAAGAGCCCAAAGCGGTCTAGTTCCTGGAAATCTTCACATCTGAATCCCACCTCCCACAACCATGTTGCTGAAGTGCACGTGTACCCTGATGAAACACTGCAAAAAAGCAGTTCTACAAACCGCTGTGTCGTGATTATTTCTGAGCTGGGTTTGACTGATGCGCATCGGTGCTCCTACATACGGGCACACAAAAAGACCCATCATTTGACTATGCAAACAATTACGTTAAGATTGCTTTTTTGTAGTGTTGATCAATCTGGACCTTCAGAGCAGGAGCCCTGGGGAAGGGGAGAAGACGCTCTTGAACTGAGGATCCCTTTATCAGACATATCATTGTTGGACTTTGTGTCTGGCCAAGGGAGCTTTGACTTGTTGCTGCTGGACTCAGATCTAATTGTTCTGTTGCAACTACCTGACAGGGCTCTTTTTGTAGAAAAAGCCCAGCAGGAACTCATTAGCATAATAGGCCACACCCCTGACAGCACAGCTCATTAACATATTGGGCCACACCCCTGACAGCACAGCTCATTAGCACATTAGGCTGCACCCCCATGTTACCAGAAGTGTGGTTATCCAGCCACACCCACCTTTTGCTTGTTATTCTGTTTACCTTGTTTGTTGTCAAAACCCAGGGCCTTTTTTTTGTAGCAGGAACTCCTTTGCATGTTAGGCCACACACCCCTAATGTAGCCAATCCTAATGAGTTTCTGCTGTTGTGTGTGGCCTATTATGCTAATGAGCTCCTGCTGGGCGTGGCCAACTTGGGAGCCAGCCGGAACTCTGTTCCTGTGCGTTCCTGCCCAAAAATAGCCCTGCTGATAGAACTTGGGAGATATGCTATCCTAGATAGGTTATTATGTCTGCCGCAAGAGTTCCGATGGGACCCTAGAAAATATGCTGCCATCTTAAGAGTTTTTGTGCTCACCAAGAGAAATTATTGCACCTTATGTCCTTTATATACATCACAGTCCTTGAAAAAGATTGTATTCGAAACGGGTAAATTATTCGAGTCCCGTGGGACCAGTGATTGTGGTACTGGCAAGGTGCTGTCTGAATATTTGAACAGAATGAATGTAAACCTGCACTTTGATGTTATGTTTGGGAGAAACCTATTTTTGATAATATTTGATACCAATATTTATAGAACAGTATAGAAAAAAAAGAAAAAGAAAAAGCACAAAGTTGATTTACCTTGAACATACATCTATTATACACAGTGCTATATACTTTTGCATAACCT